CAAAACATATTGACATTAAATTCCTGGTTGTGAAGGAAAGAGTACAGAGTGGACAGATTTCTATAGAGCACATTGGAACAAACGCCATGATTGCGGATCCGCTTACTAAGGGATTACCACCCAAGGTCTTTCATGAGCACACCGCTCATATGGGTGTTGTATTTTTTGAGGATATCATGTTTTAGTGGGAGTTTGTATTCTTATTGCTTTATATATGTTTAGTTCTTTGAACACATTTATGTATTTGGATATTTTCTGTACAGAAATAAAATATTCAGTTCATTCCACTCTGTTATTATGTTCAATACTGATCTCACTTAAGAAATAAGGTTGGACCAGTTGGAAATAGACATGTTCGGATCACATAACATGTAATTTCCATGCTACACTCCCATAATTGATCTATGTCATTTGGTTGTATGGGTGTACGTGACCATTGATGGATTTAATCACGCTAAATGTGACGAAAATCGCTTTGATCCTACATCGATATAACTAATGGACGAGATTGTTTGGAAATACCTTTAATAACTATAGCACAATTTTGAGCTCATAAGTCTGTGCACATTTATAATGTAACATGTTTGGTCCAGTGGGAGATTGTTAGAAAAAATTCCAACTTTGGGGGCCACACATGTACATTTATTAGAATGTGTGGTGCTATTTTAAAGTAAATATAGTCGATAAAGTGATCCATTGGATTTAATTTTGGACTAATGAGTATTAAATTTTATGGGATTAAAGTGTAGAGACTAGAAGGTGTTATTTTGAATTGATGAGAGGCCGATTTGAAATAACTTAAAGTTAATAACTGTCAATAGCAGTTATTTTAAAAGTGGTTATGGTCCCCAATTTGAACGTGATTCTTTTTATGGTATCTCTGCATCCCCATCAACAGAGACTTTTCAAAAAAACCAAAAGGAAGGAAAATCACGTATCAATTGGAAGATCAAAACCCAATTAAAGCAGATAGATTCATGGATCAAGGTATGTTTCTGCACTTATCATTGTCTCTTTGATTTCAACATGGAATTTATGATTTTATAAAAGAATTTTATGAATATGGTTCCTTTCAATTTAAATCAACATACCATCCTAATAGCTTGCATGATAAACACCAGAACTCCTTAACATTTCTAGACCCAAAGCTGTAACAACTAAAAACATTGCCAATTTGCCGCCACAAATTTTCATTTGTAACCAATGCAAAACACGAGAATACATAGAAAAATATTGTACCATAGTTGACCTGATTATTTAACTTACTCTAATTAATTTTAATTACCTCATATAGAATTCATGATGTGTTTGATTGTAAGTATGAAATTTATTTAAAAAAATAATTCTAGCATGAAACTTTTTTGCATGAAATTTGACAATTAAATGCATTTGATTGACTTAATTTTCAACAAAAAAAATATTGTACTCTTTCATAAATTTGAGTTTTTGGGAACCGTGGATTATCTAAAAAATAAAAATATACCTCCATAAAGAAAATATTTTCTTTATTTTTGAGGAAAACATGATCAAATTTTGAAAAATATTTTTCATAAAAAAATGCCAAACAAACACTCCAAAAATAAGAATTTGAGTGACAAAACATTTTTCATGAAAAATATAATCAATCAAACATCTGCAGATAGAAAGGGAGAGCATTTATTTATTGAAGTTCTTAAATCCAAAGTACTCGATCTTTGTTTACATGAAGAGCAATCATGTTTGGGCAACTTATAACATTTAGTTATCATTTATTTTACTCATAAGTAAAGACGTAAAATTTAAAATAAAAAAAATAAAAAAAAAATCTTAATCAAAGCAACATTTTTATTTAAAAGTAATAACAAAGTAACACATTCAAGGGGGGCAAAAAGGCCGCATCTTTCAGGTAAAGAGAAGCTAGTCAATCATCAAATTAAAAAAAAATAAAAATAAAATTGAACCCTGGTTCTGTAACTATCGTCATGAGTACGTAGGACATATGGTGAAGTTTCTCCGGCACAAGGCAAAGCTCAAATGCAAATAAGAGTAACGCAATTTCAATACAAATAACCATGATAAGCAACCGAGATTTAACATTTGTTCTTAACTAAAATTGGCAAATAAGAGTGACGCAATTTCAATACAAATAACCATGATAAGCAACCGAGATTTAACATTTGTTCTTAACTAAAATTGGCCATGAATAAGTAGATAGCCAAACGCTTCAAAACAAAACGGATTATCCATTGAATTGTATATCTACTCAATGGTAGTGTACATTATATAAAAGCCTATCATCATCTTTGGTACATAGTATTAGATATAACTAAACGTTACAACAATTGTACTTCCCGAAGTATTACATCTTTGAATTCCTTTCTTATATAAGACAGGAAAATTCGAACCATAACACAAACTGTGAATCCATCACGATAAACTTCTTACAACATAGCTATTCATATGAAGCTGTTGCAAAATAACTTCTAAAAAGTAACAGATTTTTCATTCACGATTACCTTAGCTTTAACTCAGGAGACTGGCCGAGGAATATTGGCCAGCGATGCTTGCATCTGTTCCTCTGAAAATGACAAATCAACAAGACCTCCCTGCAGATACTTTTCGTAAGCCGGCAAATCAAAATGACCATGTCCACACATTGCCATGAGAATGACTTTTGATTCTCCCGTTTCTCTGCACCGAAGAGCTTCCCTGATTGTTGCAGCTATGGCATGAGTTGGTTCGGGTGCAGGTATCAACCCTTCCGACCTAGCGAATTGTATGGCACCTGAAGAAACAAGAAAAGCAAGGTATTAGCCAATAGCAAAGCCAAAAAAACTTTTAGAAGAACAGCAATTTTTGAAGGAAAATTTTCAATGGCAGTCCCTAAACAAATAAACAAAGCATATGGATCGACAATCAAAATTTCTGGGTTTAGGTTCCCAAACATTCATTTTCCTTGCACACTGATTCTTACAGGATGGAAACCCTCAATTTTTCTAGTTAACGAGACACCTACTATGAATGTGATGACTTATCTGAGAATTAAGTTCACTTAATCCACTCCATTTCCAGTTTCCCTCCAAAACAGTCAAAAAAGAAAAGAAAAAGAGAGTCAATGGACTAGATGTGAGCACAAGGAAATGGAGTGGGTTGACAAAAAAATAACACTTAATCTATGGTATCCATCCAATGAGAATGAAGACAAGTGCGCACCGAAACTGAAAGATTGGGGTTGTACATATAAATTGGTGAAATGTCAGTTGGGATCCAGAACAAGAGACGAACTCTCTACTTTGGGCTTTATGTGGAGAAGGAAAAGATGCATACCTTCAAAGCATTCTTTCTGCGGAATTGAAATTGCTTCCATGTAACCCAATTCATAGACATGCGAAATCAATGGAGCCATTCCATGGTACCGCAGACCCCCTGGAAAACAAGTAATTTAAAGAGAAGGGTTCGTAACAGTAAGCAAAAAGTATCGTGAAATAATGCTTTACCAGCATGAATAGGGTCTGGTACAAAGTCGTGTCCAAGAGTATGCATCTTCATCAAAGGAGTCAACCCGGCTGTATCACCATAATCGTAAGCATATACACCTTTTGTCAAGGAAGGGCATGCTGTAGGTTCAACTGCTCTAATAACAGGGTTGATCTTCCCGTTAAATTTCTCCCGAATAAATGGAAAAGCAAGTCCTGCAAAATTGGACCCGCCCCCAGTACAGCCAATAATCACATCTGGAGTCTCCCCTATAGCCTCCATCTGTTTTATGCACTCCTCACCTATGACAGTTTGATGTAACAAAACATGATTGAGAACACTTCCTAGACAATATTTGGTATCAGCATTTGTAGCTGCTACCTCCACAGCCTCGGAAATAGCTATTCCTAAACTTCCTGGGGTTGATGGATCTTTGTCGAGTATGCTTCGACCAGCTTCGGTAATACTGGAAGGTGAAGGGTGCACTTTGGCGCCCCAAGTTTGCATCATCAGTTTACGATATGGTTTCTGATCATACGAAGCACGGACCTGCCACACCTGTAGTAGAACCAAAAAACAGGACATCTGGCTCATAAAAACTGATGCTTGGCTAAAATTCTTTATGCATCTTACTGTGCACTTGCGACTTGATTGCGAATCAACATACAAATTATTGTTGGACCATGTGGAGAATATTTTAAAATTTTTTTTTTTTAAATAGTTTATTTGGCATTATAAATGTATAAGGTCAAACTAATATTCCTATTGTATAAATGATATATTAGGGGGCGTTTGGTGTGTGCAAGATAGATGTCAGGTAAAACTTCTGTTGATGAGTGAACATGGTCTCTTGTTTAGGGTAATCTATGTGTGCGCTTTGCTCATTTCTTACTGCTTTTCTAATTTTTATTCCTCTTAGAAGTAGGGATCAAGGCTTAATTAAATATAATTACATTTGGCATGTGAAACAGCCAATTAAACATTACATGCTTCATGAAAAGAACCATGAAAGAAAGCAATAACAATAACAATAAGAAAAAGTTATTTACCTCGCAGTTGAGACCAAATAAGCTGCACGCAAAAGCGAGTGAACTCCCCCATTGGCCAGCACCAGTCTCTGTAACTACGTTCTTGACACCTTGCTGTGCATTGTACCAGACCTGTGGTACAGCAGTGTTTGGTTTGTGCGACCCAGCTGGGCTAACCCCCTCATACTTGTAGTAGATTCTAGCAGGCGTATCGAGCAGTTTCTCCAATCTCTTAGCTCTGAATTTAACTGACAAGCATAAGATTTTCTTAACCAATTAAGTGAAACAGGCAATGCAGTATATCCATTGTGGACAAGTAAGTTAAACCACTCCCATCTAAAAGCTTAAGTTATTACGGAGAAAACACATTTAGTTGTTAGAATTTAATGATCAACACGCGCGTCCTGTATAAACCAAGATTCAATTATTCATCAAAAGAGCAACAAGTGCACAAATTTTATAAATGGATGGGGGGAAGCTTGACCTCAGCACCTTTGCCTCTTTCTATACCATGTTAAATCACCTATTCAAAAACTAACATAGGGAAAAAAAATTATCAATTTATATCTAATCTTCGACAAAGTAGAAGTAACCTGATCAAAGGAGTAGGCCGCCAAAGCCTATAAACATCTATAACCTCCTCTGGGATGTCAACAAAACGATCATTGGTGGCCTCTTGCTTAATCAACTCATCCGGAAATAAAGGTGACAAATCTTCTGGTGTTGCTGGTTCGAAAGTTTTTGGATGCAGAGGAGGTGGTGGTTTTACTGGAAGATCTGCAATTAGATTGTACCACTGGCGAGGAATTTCAATTCCTTTAGAATCAGCTCGCTGAGCTGCTTGTACTGTTGCTCTGAAATTAGATGAAACCTTCAGAATACACCGTCTACTTTTCGATGCAAAAAAATCCAGCCTCTTCTCATCACCTGAAAGGAGGGGCAAGGAATAGTTGAATGATTAAAACAACAAAATGGTGCAATGAACAAACAGCCAGAAGCTTTTCACTTACATCAATTCGGACAGCAGCTAAAAATGGGAGCTTCAATCATATGACACATTTACTGAAAATCAGTTTTTACTGTTGAAAGAATATGCAACTTAACACTGATTCATCCCTACAGTGGAACTGGAAAAGATGGTCCTCAAAGCCAAGCTGGCCAGATTGATGTAATTGATAAGCATGTTTAGCTTTTAAGTCCCTTTCCATATCCAAACATGTTCGGATATATCACATTTTTCTCAATTATTTTTGAAAGCTGGTATGACGTAACTTTCTCCAAAAGTCGAATACGAAACTTTCTTTGAGCTTAGGCAAACACGCTCTAAACAATAATTTTTACAACAATTCAAAAATACTGAAGTTTCAAGCAATAAACTGTTATTGATAATCAAAAGATAAATAGATAATTCATTTTTACTTAACTAACAATTTTTTTTTTTTTTTTTTTTTACTTATTTTCAGTAAATTGAAGTTTCATTATGCTATATATAATTAAATGAAACAAGGAATATGGGTAATAGCGAGAAAATACCTTGCAAGGATGAGCGTACGGGAATAATTGGGGTGTTCAGAAAAAGCGATTGTGCCATTTTTGGGGATGCAATACAGAGATGAGCATGAGCAGGTAATTTGTCAATCTTTTGCTCTTAGGGTATTTTTTTTTTGGGAACAACGGGTAATACGACAGTCAACGGTGGCATTAATGGGATGTTGACATCTGTTCAATCATTTTCATGTTCCCATGTGATTGCATAGGAATTTGGCTCAAAGGACATTTCTTTTTTTTTTTTTTTTGTTTTTTTTCCTCGGACTTTGTGAACACACGTTTTAAAACTTTAACGTATAGACCCTGTTTGTTGCCCATTTTGCACTCTTATTTTAGAAAAAATTTGCCCGTTATCAAAGCACTGACTGGAGGCTGTACACAAATAGCTTTGTAAAAACACCAATCCCTTTATTACCCTTTATAGTAAGCCAAAATTACGGTAGGTGGAAAAAGTAAAAAAGGGTGGGTTGTTGAAGGCAAATGAGGGTATTTTGGGAAAGATAAAAATTTTACTAGTCAATTCAAAAAATATATGTCATCATGTGGGACGCATGTTTGTAGAAAGAATGCATTTTTCCGGATGAAAATGAGTACCAAAGGTTTGCTTTTATTAGCGTAAAATTTATAGATTTTCTAAAAGTAGTTGGAGATGTGAAATGTTTGCTCAATTATCATGCTTTTGTCGATTGTATATTGTATGACAGTGATAATTTATTTTTATTTTTATAGATAAATTTAGGGGGCATTTGTTTTTCATTTTTGAAAAAATGAGAATAAAAAATATAATCGTTATGGACCCCACGCAAGAGATAAAAATTCAAATTTGCTGGCTTGATGTGATAGATAACGGTCATATTTTTCATTTTAATGAGAAAAAAATGGGTAACAAACAGGGACATAATCAATGATGTAATGAGCTCTTGTGAAATTGTGTTGCATATGTTTAAGTGCGCAAGTGAAAAGTTAATTACTTATTGATTGGCACATTATAGGTTTGTTTGAGCTCCATTTTTATCAAAAAATACATTATAAAATAGTGTTAAGATGGAAAATGTATAGTTAAAAAATAAGGAAAAGTTTTGAATTTACGTATAATATTATTTTTTGAATAATGTATTGTTGAAATAATGTCAAATCAGCGTTGAAAAATATATTTTGATAAAGAAATAGAACTTAAACAAGCGCTGCTATATCTATTTTTCTGCTTAGATTAAAGTAGATGAAGAATTTTTTTTTTTTTTTTCCAAATTGCACAAAAGTCGTAACTTGAATTTAGCAAAATGTTTCTCTTTAGTTTTTTTTTTTCCTTCAGATTGCACAAAAGTTGTAACTTGAATTTAGCAAAATGTTTCTCTTTCGCAACTTCAATTTGAGAGGAGATATTTGTACTTTGAAAAGTGACCACTGCAATTGTAAATTGAAAGAGTACTTTATGAATTTCAATTACACTAAAAGAAAGGAGAAAAATAAACAAATATCGGGAAGTAAAATGGAAATTGACTCTATTAATGTTGATAACTGCATAAAACTACTTTATTTAGGAGCCCAACTACATAAAACGTAAACAAAATAAGAACATGTTCTTAGCATGAATGATGTAGTTATCACGTACAACATACGTCATTTTTCAACACTATCATATTTTCATAAGTTCCTAAGTACATACATTTAACAAAAGTAAGAATGGGCAGAAACATAGGATCCATTTATTACTTAGTTTTCAAAAGTAGTTGTTGACCTCGAAAATTGGACCTTTCACGTGGCCAATCGATAGCTACTCCATGTATTCTTCCCTGCACACAATCAACGCACGGTCAGACGCACATGGCTGGGACCAGCGGGGGTGGTGGCGGCCGTATACACTCCGACGGTTAAGTCAGGTTTAGATGGTCGGAACAGTACCCAGAGGTTGTGTCAAAAACACTAAGGGGGAGGAGAAAATATATAAACTTGTTATGGAGTGCTATGTAGTAAGAGTTTCATTACCTTTGCCTCTTGCCAAACCTTGAGTATTTATAGGTGGGATAAACCGTTGGATGTGGGACACGTGTATACATCTGACGGTATGAGGCGTCCGCTCATAGGCGTCAATTAACCGCGTCTATAGAGTGGGCGGGCAGTTTGTTTCTCCCGAGTTGAGTTAACATAAAGTTGATAAGTCATATCAACTAACTTCATAGAGACGTCAAACCAATTTAAACTTTAGGTGCAAAGAGGATCTTAACAAAAATCTCTTTCTGAAATTGGCGGCGGATCTTCTGATAGAGGTCCACTTCGCCTCGATCTCAAGGGCGAGGGTGCTTCGGTCAATTCAGCAGGCTCGCCTATGTCTCGCAGTGTGTTATCAGGTCATTGACATTGGCGAGATCACTTCGGATGGGTGTCTATCAGGTCGGAATGTATGGTGATGGGCATTTCGAGGTGGTTCAGATAGGGGCGTGAGTCATTCCAAAACACCTCAATCATTTTTTACTCCATTTTTCCCTTTGAAGTAAATGTATTTGAGCCAGAAATTTCTAAGTTTATGAGTCACTCAAAATTTAGTTTTGAACTTGAGCTATTATCAAAACACTTTAAAAGAGCCTTTTTTTTTAACTGAAGGTGTCCAATCTTCGTGTGAGAATTCACATCAATACTTTTTTCAATTGTTGTAATTTCAAAAGTTTAGAATTGACTTTCCCTTGGCATTGTTCTTCTGCAGTCAAAGGTTCCAAATCTGTTACAGAGATGATGTCAGACTTGTAATTGGATGAGTTAGGTTCGATTTGAGTCGCTTTCACATAGAATGCTTGTTCGATGTTTTGCATCTTTTGAATCACATCTCCAAAAATTGTCTCTGAACCTTGTATATAAAAAATGAATTGTATTATTACTTCATGAAAAATATATACTGGCTATATAGTGGCAGAAAGTTTAATGTAAGTTAGAATTATTACAAAGTTGGTTTGCTCCATCAGAGCTCATGCACTTGTAATCATAAGTTTATAGTGGCAGAAAGTTTAATGTAAGTTAGAATTATTACAAAGTTGGTTTGCTCCATCAAGGCTTGTGCACTTGTAATCATAAGTTTCTTAGCTGGTTCACAAATTGTATTTGCATTTATGAAGTCTGTTATATTTGACAGTTGTATATATGCTCTAGCCTTGAGATGAAAAAGGATTCAATATTTGTAAATGAAGACATGGATATATTAAATTAAAATAGAAATAAAAAAGCATGAAGAGAGTGTTTTTGTTAATTCTATCGAAGATGATAAAATTTGTTATTAGTATGTAGTATATTTTTACTGAGGAATAGCTTTAGAATTGAGATTCTTACAAAAAGTACAAAGATATGTTTTACCAAAATCAGCATTTGATCACCAATAACAATTGTTGCAAGTCATATACAAATATTTGTCATGAATTTTCTCAACCGTTGTTGTGCCATTGACCCAATAAAACTTTCACTGTTATGAGAATGAATTTTTACTTGTAATAACTTTATTAAAAAAAAAAAGGATAAACAGAAAGTAAAAAAAAAAAAAAGGAATGAGCACATGTTATTGTATATATGAATATATTGGAATAATAAAAAAAGTATAAATAGTAACCATAAGCTGGAAAAGTACTGGTAAAGGATGGCCAGCTTTTAGCGAGGTCCTTTTTTTTTTTTTTTAAATATCAATTCATCAATTTTCTTGAAACTTGTGTTCACCATGAAAGAATAAAATGGAAATAATTAATTAAATAAAGTAATGGTATGTTGCATACAGATGTGTGCGAATTAGGAAATAAAATAAGAAAATTTGAACAACTTATACATATCATTCTATCAATTCTTTTACTACGATAAAAGGAGTATTTATGAAGAATGTGCCACGAACTTTTGTGGACAACTTTAAACCTATGTAATAGCATTAAAGAAAACACATAAAAAATTATAAGTAATAATGATTTATATATTAATATATAGGTTATGTAAAAAGCCTCTTGAGAGTTCTAATAAGGAAGAAATAATGGAACATATCAAAGAACGATGTAACTTTTAGAGAGATGCTACTGGTATATAATTATATGTACATAAAGGTGTCCCCCCTCTCACATGACGTCCCACTCGAATATTTCATTCATGTGGATTCCACCCTCATATGAGAAGGTGTCATATGAGAGGGTGGACACTCTTATGTAAAGGAAATTATGTACCATTAGCATTTTCGTAACTTGTACGTGTGTTGCAAATATCACTGTTTTTTTATTTTTTCAATATTTTCTGTTATCAATATGTTTTCTCTATTAACAAATGAATCCAGAATGCCAACATCATTGTTTTGAATATTTCATCCAGAAGTATTACATCTTGTACCCAAGTTTGGATGTTATCTTTTGATTGAATCAATCGCTTAGGTATCATATCAACTGCAATTACTAATATGCTGAGAAATAAAAATCAATAATTACATTTTTCTTTTGTTTTTGTATTAAACAAAACATTTTATCATTATTTATTTTCTCAGGACCAATATAACTAATATTCAAAATAAATTGAATGTGTAATTTCTTGCTCAAATTAGAATTTGTAAACATGTATTGTTCAACTTCATGGAGAGAAGTTAGTAGATGGGTTCTAAAAACAAATTCAAAGTTATCTTCATTCAATTCTTGAACATGAGTTTCCCAAAATATTGTTTACTGTAGAGCTCTTGTTGAATATTTTTAGTTTCTAGTGATGTATTTCACATAAGCTTTGGAATATGTGTATGTTTTTCCAAGAAGAAGTTGATCTTCAAAGGAAGTAATGTTTGAATCATATCAACTAGCTTGGACAGTGTTACCCTAAAAGATAAAATTCAAGAGTGTAAGAAAGAGTTGTATATTATATATTTACATATATAGATAAGAAAAAATGGAAAATGTATTTTCAAAACAAAAGAACGGTTAGATTTTTGTAATGTAAATGAAGAAAATAAAGTATAACCGAATGAATTCTTTATTTAATCAAAATATTCAACATGTGTAAAAGGTAATATATATTAAATTATTTTTGTTTCTTTATTTTAATAGGACTTACCCGAGTATCCATTAACATCAAGTGTTGGTACCTTCCATTGCCTTATTTTGAAAGTTTTGACGTTTGTTTTTTTCACTACAGTCACCTTAACTTTTCATTTCTGATTATTAGATACAATTTTTGTTATGAGTTGGTACTGCTATTCCATTGTGGCAACTCTAAAATAGAGCGAAGTCTAGCACTATTTCTACATAGAGAATGAGTAAATGTTCTTTAGAAGTGGGACAAAAGATTTTGTGGAAGCTGACGATAATGTTAGTCAAAATCACACTACGATATGGGAAAAAAGAATTTATAATATCGTTGATGGAATATGTCAAGCGTGATCAATTGTTCTACATGTTCCATCCATTAGCTTTAATTTGACTCTACCAATACTAGCTATTCGAATATGTTTTTTGTTACCCATGACAATGATACCTTTCCTCACCGTTTCATACATTTCAAATAAATCCCGATTGGTATACATATGGAATGCACAAACTGTAACTAAAATTTACTTCATGTCAAGTTTGAATTTCATGTTAGAAATCGTCAAAACATCTCTATTTGGTCTTGTTTGAAGTATTTAATTGCTTTCCATGATTTGCAATCAAATCTCTTCGTTATGCAATTTATCACAATCCCTCTTAATTTGTCATTTTTTCTTGCAATAATAACAAACCCGATTACTGAAATTTGACATTGATTTACCCTTTTTCAATTATCATGAACAACAATGCTTTCTCCACCTCTGGCCTCAGATCCAACCAAATGTTTCATCTGCTCTTTTGAAAACAAGGCATCATACGTATCTTCAATAGTGAGAATATCATGACTAACAAGACCGTGTCTCTAAATGAAGTAAACAAAGCTGGCAGTGAATACAAAATGATTAAGGCCAAATTTTCTTCATCATACTTTACCCTTGATTTCTCCAAATTTGCGGCGATCTCCTTAAATACAGCCAGATGATCTTTCAAAGATCCGCATTCTGCCATGCGATGAGAATACAACCCCTGTTTTAGATGCAATTTGCTTATAAGACTTTTACCCATTCACAACTGCTCCAACTCTAACCACAATACAGCTGTCGTTTTTCCTTTAGAACATCCTTAAGAATATTGTTAGATAGATGAAAATAGATTTATGAAAGTGTCTTTCAATCATTCCGTTGTTTTTCCTCTGTCGTCCAAATTGTGGACATTTTGTCAAATCCTAACAACACATCATCCCATTCATCTGCACGAGTACAACTCGCATCTTCACTTTCATGACTACCAGTAATAACCAAAACCTCAAACAAATCACAATCAATAGCTTTGATATCACTTGTTCAGAAATAAAATGGATCTAGGTAATATATATAACATAATATGAAGTATATGGTAGTAAATAATAATAAGATAAAAGGCAAAGAATTAATTGGTAAACGAACATAGTATTTTTTCAATTGACTAATATGGAGAAAACAAATACAATATTTGAGCCTACTCAATTATTCTATATATCAGTAATATTGAACTTGTGAAAAAAGTTTAGTATTTATAAGATGCATGTCAAACGTTAGAAATACCACAAAGATAGAAACAAAAAAAAAACCACGTAGAATAAATAAAAAATATTTTCTCAAAAATCCAACCTAATTTGGGTAAAAAAAAAAAAAAAAAAAAAAAAAAAAAAAGGTACATTGAAGGTAGAGACTTTACCTCCCTGATATTCAGGTGATTATAAGAATTAAAAGGAACACTTAAAATATTATTTGGACTTTAACAATTACAATTAAACACAAGAAAAAGGTATATCATATACATACGACAAAGCAATTTCACCTGAAGTTATACAATTATTACCTATTGGTCACATGAGGTAGTCCCCACTTGTCTACTTTGATAAAGTTGATACCCTTCTGCTTAAGTGGTATTCCAGACGGTTAAGATGCCATGCATACATTTTTAGACATTCAAATAAGAGTATGTTGCCTATTATGTTTTACTTGTGAGGCGATGAGTGTATATATTATTGCGTCGTCCATAGTGACAAATGTAGACATTTTGAATTAGGAAGTATAATCAAACTTACAAAAAAGCCGTAAAATAATTACGAACGGCAATTTTTTCAACTCGGGCGCCAGTGCCTACTAAACCTTGCTCATAACTTTGTCTTGAAAATATCGAATTGAGATCTGTAAACAAGTTGAAATTAAAATTAAACAGATAAAGTTCAACAATCGCTCTCCCTTCTATTCTCACGCGCGACACTCGAAAGAAAAAAGTAAAACTAGGCTCTACCCCAATTCTAATTTTTTCATGTCCTTCGACACAACTGAAAAGCAAATCATCTATTCCATCAATAGTGTCTTAAAACCAAAATCGAAGTCAATCATATACAAATGGAACACATGATTTATGACAAATGGCTGGATCAACACCCATGTTCCTCTCCGTTGCCAAGGTACCAACATTGTTCGAATAACACATTCCAAAACTCAAAAAATCACAATTAAATGTGCTATTACTAGAAATTTAGTTTTTTTTTAAAAAAAATATCCCACATTTTTGTGGCTCTCTAACTCTCTAAAAGGAAAAGAAAAAAAAAGGAAAAACATAAATTCGAAAATAATTTCCTTTTCTTTCCAACATTTACCTCATATAGAGTAACAGATTTTAGTGCCTATTTGACAGCGATTCTCGTCTAATTATAAGGAAAAATCCAACTGTTATATATAGAATGAGAACCATGCTATAGCAGCTATTTTTTACTGCACCTTTCCAATCAATTAAAATTCTTAATGAAAAGGACATTTTATACACTCAACGCCATGAGCAAGGATATTTTTTACATTCCAATTTAGAATGAAAGAAGGTGCTAGTTTTTGTCAAATTTTTTCCAATTTCTTATAAAATGGTCAGATTTTTTTATTATAATCATGCGAGATTGCTGTCAAACGGGCGCTTAATGGCCAATGACGAAAAAATATGGTGTGAGAACAAAAATTAATATGAAAAAGTAAGTAGGTTTCGTGTTGAATCCTACAATTATTTAGAGTAAGCCCATTGAAACACAAAACTTAAAACTTTCCTAAATGTACAATTATTTCAATTCAATTCAGACGAAACCCTTCAATTGTCACCCCAAATAAACATCAAAAGAACCTTCTAAAGATGCAAATAGATAGGGGTGAACGCGGTTCGATTTGTGTAGTTTGTGCTTTATTTTCAACTCAAACCATTTTATGCTGTTTGAAATTTTTTTAAATCAAATCAAATCATTTTATTTTTCGAATCAAACCAAATCATAATTTGCAGTTTGATTAGGTTTTAATCCGCTGTTTACCTGTCGACATTATAATAATATATTTAATAAAAGTTAACATATAAGTTTATACGAGAACTAATAATGTTAAATATTAAATTATATTAATATTTACCATAAAATCCATGAATAAATTATTTTCAAAATTGATTGCTAAAAGATGTTAATAGAACAAGTAATGCATATTTCTTCATTTTTATTTACCTTTTCTTGTTTGACATTCATATTGTCATATAGCAGTTGGAAAAGGTAGAGATACATTCTACTATTATAGTTTGATTAAAAATCCTTTCGTCTTACTAATGAGATGTTAAATAAGGATTGAACGGAATATATTTAAATATACAAATATTCATAGAATTTCGGCTTATTGGGAATTGAGGAATTTTATTATCAAACTATTTTATGAAAGTAGAAGGTACTAGTACTGTTGGGAACTTTAACATTTTCACAAAATCAATACGTCCCGTCTTTGGTTCTTTCCAAACTACGAACAAATTTATTAATCATCTAGGCACACAAAAGTTATTTTTCTATCTAAATCACAACCACAAGTGTATAATAAATTCAAAAACAACAAATAAAAAATGAACGACGAAAAAATGGCTTGAATGAAAATCTAAAACTTATTGAAAGAGGAGAGAAAAAGAGGCGATTCAGGTAAAAATTAACAGACTAACAGGCAAATGCAACTTACGATTTCTTCAGTAATGCAGAGAAACGTCAAATGTTAGGAAAATGAAAGTTTATGTTAGGGCTTCTGAAACTTTGGACGTGATTTGTTGACATAGTTTTGTTGAATTAAGATTTGGATTGTTGAAAATATATATGTATTTTTCCATTTCATATGATTTTGGAATAATTTTAGTTTAGTTTAGATATTGGGTGAAAATATATATTGTGATCTTGTTAAATCATAGGGTAATAATGATGAACCTAATTTACTTTCCATGATTATTTCAATAGGTTGGTTGTAATTTGTATTGCTAAATTGGTATTTTTTAAAAGTGAAAACTGTAAAATTTTGAAGTTAATAAAATTAATATATTAATTAAAAAATTTAAAAACGGTTCGATTCGATTTTGGTGCGATTTTTGAAAATCAAAACCTAAACCAAACTATTTTGAAATGGTTTGGTTCGATTTGAGGGAAAAAAACCACGGGTCCATATGGACCCGAACCAACGGTGTTTATTTGCAAACCAACCCGGAGGTACTTCACTATGGCAGTAGCCGGGACTATATCACAGTATGTTTGAATTTGTCTTGTCTATATTTGATTTCTAAATTTTTAGTGAATTTCTTGAACTAAGTATGTTAAGTTATTATTTGTTAACATTGTTACTGTTAAGTTTTTTATTTACCACTATTTGTTGATTTTAGCATTAAATGGAAATTTTTTTATCTGTGAAAATAGTATAGTTTCAATAATTATCTTTAGACTTGTATTTTGGAGATTTTAACTTTTTTTAAAAAAAAATCAACGAGTTTAATTATATTGAACTGAAGGCTAGAAACTTCATAACTAGATTTTTATTTCTGCGACGTAGAATTCATTAGGTTTAAGTTCATTCTTTTGTTTTTTTTTTCAATGAATTGATTGTTTTCGTTGATCGTTTCTATCAGTTATGGAGAAGTATTTTAAATGTAAATCTACGTTTTCTTGTGATGAGCAAGATGTTAATAAAAGGAATGTTCGAGATAAAATAGATGAAATGAACGTTGGGGATGAAATTGATGGAACTAATCTTGAAGATGGCCCAATTCAAACAAATGTCGAGGATGTTGGGGATGAAAGTCATGAATTTGATGTTGCACAGCTACCTTCAGATCCTGGATTGAGAGTTCTAATACAAAATTATGATATTAATGTCCGAGATGAAATTCGAAGAACATATGTGCAACGGGATCCTTGTCAGCCTCGCAATCATGAATTTTCACCCACAAGAATGGCTAACAAAGATAGGCGATTTTGTGTTTCATGGTATAATGAGCATCCTAGTTGGTTGGAATACAGTATAGCTAAAGATGTTGCATTTTGCTTTTATTGTTATCTTTTTAGTTCAAGTGGTGGTTCATTTGTTAATGGTGGGTTCTCAAATTGGAAAAGGAAAGAGATTATTAGAAAACATGTTGGGGCATCAAATAGCGCACACAATCAGGCTCGAGTCCAGTATGAATCATTCAAGAATCAAGAACAAAGCATTCAAACCTGTCTCTTTAAACAATCGCTTCAAACTCGAACAGAGTATCGAATTCGTTTGAATGCATCAATTGATTGTGTTCGATTTCTTCTACGACAAGGGTTGGCCTTTCGTGGACATGATGAATCTAAAGATTCAAACAATCAAGGGAACTTTCTTGAACTATTACATTGGTTGTGTGATCACAATACTGAGATTAAGGCTGTTGCTCTGACGAATGCACCTGAAAATCTGAAATTAACATCACCACGAGTTCAAAAAGATATCGTGAGTGCTATTTCTTCTGAAATTCTAAACGTGATTATCAAAGATGTTGGTAATAGTTTCTTTTCTATTTTAGTAGATGAATCTCGAGACATTTTAGTGAAGGAGCAAATGTCAGTTGTCATTCGTTATGTGAAGAATGGACATGTATTGGAACATTTTATCGGTGTTATACATGTTTTGAGTACCACAGCTGTCTCACTTAAGGCTGGAATTGATAAATTATTTTCCACACATAGTCTAAGTATATCTAATTTAAGAGGTCAAGGATATGATGGAGCTAGCAATATGCAAGGTGAGTATAATGGTCTCAAAACACTTATTTTGAAAGAAAATTCAAGTGCCTACTACATTCACTGCTTTGCTGATCAACTTCAACTGGCTCTTGTAGCTGTGGCACTGAAACATCCAAAGATAGAAACTTTTTTCACTTCAGTACACAGATTGGTGAATGTTGTAGGAGGATCAGCTAAACGAAACGATCTTATTCGAGAGAAACAAAGATTGAAAATTTTTGAATCACTTAGTACATGCGAAATATCAAGCGGGCGGGGTCTCAATCAAGAAACTACTCTTAAGCGTTCTGGTGATACATGTTGGGGATCTCACTACAGTTGTTTACTTAACCTGATAGTCATGTTTTCAACCATTGTTGATGTTGTTGAGATGATTGCTACTGACACTACAAGTTCTGGAACAAGAGGTGATGCATTTATTTTATTGGAGTTGATGTTAAAATTTGAATTTGTATTTAATTTACATCTCATTAGAAAGATTTTGGGAATTTCAAATGAATTGTCGAAAGCATTACAAAGAAAAGATCAAGATATTGTTAATGCCATGAGATTGGTACAATTATGTAAAGCACAGCTCCAAACCATGAGAGATGATGGATGGGATTCTTTTCTTGGAATGGTTTGTTCGTTCTGTGAAGCTCATGAGATAAATGTTCCCAATATGGATGATATGTTCGTAACTCTAGGTCGTCCACGACGTGATATAGTGACAAATTTGCATCATTTTCGTGTAAAAATGTTTTATGCCATCATTGATATGCAACTTCAAGAGCTGAATGATCGTTTTTTAGAGGTCAATAGTGAGTTACTCCTTTGTGTTGCATGTTTGTGTCCAAATAATTCATTTGCCGCTTTTGACAAGAATAAAGTGATTCGACTATGTCAGTATTATCCGGCAGATTTTGACACGACAGATATCTTGGAACTTGATGATCAACTAGATACATATATCTTTGACATGCGCACTCACGAAGATTTTGGAGAATTACAAGACCTTAGTGATCTTGCACAGAAGTTGGTTGCAAAAAATAAACATGAAATTTATCCATTAGTTTACAAACTTGTGACATTAGCCTTAGTCCTTCCTGTGGCTATTGCTACAGTTGAGAGAGCATTTTCTGCGATGTTAATTGTTAAAAATTGTTTGCGCAATCGAATCAGGGATCAATGGTTGAATGATAGTTTGATTGCATATATTGAGAATGATGTATTTGATAATATTGAAAATGATGTCATTATGGAACGTTATCAAAGTATGAGAACTCGTAGAGAACAATAATAATAAGATATCGAATATTTAAATTCTTTCGTTGCCTTTTTGACAAGTTTGATTGTGCCACACTAACTCAAAATATCTGCGTCCGCCACTGTCCAAGGTAGTACAAACTTATTGTAGAAGCGTCGCCCTTTTGCTCCGAGGTGTTAAGGAAACACAACTCTAGTCGTATCAAATAGGTCTCTGATGTCTAAGGCGTTAGTGACAATTCTGGGATACTTTGACAAAATTGATGGAGCTATGTGAGAAAAGATTAATTTGACATATTTGCAATGTCACTTGAGAGTCAAATCCCCTATTTCTTGCTAAGAACAATATATGGAAAGTCGTATGATATGATGAATGTGACATTTTGGTACTTAATGATTGAGCTGTGCTAGGGCTATGTGCCAAGCATCCAGTTTAGATGATATGACGTGAAATCCAAAAGACTCCGTCTATCCTTAATGTTTTCTTTAATGGAGTCCATAGCCCATTCAGAAGGATCTCATCTCATAATCATCCATGACTATTTATGTCTGTAGCATGACCACTTGATGAAATTGAGGAAGCAGAGTGGAGCCATTCTATTACTGAGAAACTACGAGCCTTTTTTTTTTTATAGAGACCCCTAGCCATTTTATGGATTCATCACCATTCCACACTTGGTGATGTTCAAATGTAATGAAGAATTTGGTATTCTCCCACTAAAATATAAATCTCAACTCTCATTTCTCTTCTTCGTTTTTGCCATTTTTGCACCCAATATAATTCTACATCTATTTTTTGTTGATTTGAAAGTCAAGAGTGCATATGGTTATGCCCTTCCTCACCTCTGTTCGAAGAGGTTTTGATACTCGTGCCTTCAATGTGTGTGTTTCAAGTGCGAAAGTAAATTGTACATAGAAGAGAGTAGAAGTGAGATCTGTAGGCGACTAAGGTTCCATTCATATTCAGGGATCAACAGACTGGTACTCTATATGAAAAAATCCACGAAAATCATGTGAATAAAAAATTTAACAAAAATCCTACATTAACTATAAGAAATTCTTTATTTCCCAAAGATTTACTCCCAAAGAAAGGATTAGTGGAAGCGAAGGAGATGCAAACCCTAGAAGGTAAGATGCCAAAAATGAAGATGAAGAGACCCCCACAGTAGTTGCCACACCAAGAGGCCTACATGGGTTGCCAAATGTATCCTGAGTGTTGAACAATCGTTGAACATATACGATAAACAACGAAGCGAATTGCTGCTCACCAAGCCTCCATGCGGGCCTTCCTATAAATTAACTACCAGACATGTAGATGCCCCACAATATGCAACCATCGACCTTTTGTCATGAGCATGACTCAAGCAAATCTACTGCTTAATCAAAGAACTTAGAGGAACTAGCCAGTTGAAGAGGAGGTGAACAATGCCCTCACAAGGGGATACCCTAGAAATAGCGAAGATAAACCTTCGATAAGAGAGGTTTATATTGGTACTTCCCAAGCCAACATTGCAGGCCTTCGAATAGAGATATGTATTTGAAGAGCCCCCTTCCCACCAATTTATGAGCACAAGCCCAGACTAACAAAGTCCACTAGTATTTTTTTACATATTGAGCGATCATTCTAGAAATAGGGGCCAAACGAGTTTTCTAGGAATAGGCAATAGAATCAACTGCCAAGATATAGGTGCAAAAGAAAAAGTGTTGGGGTAGCAATAAGAGAACGTGTGCCTCATACAATTAAGGAGGAAAGCCCCGTGTGATTATAGGGGCTAGATACAGCAAACCTGCTAGGAAATCAGACGATGATATTGATGACTCTCCCTTCCCCATGGAGATCAACATTGAGCTTCCTCTCCTAAACTTCAACATTCCAAAGATCCTACCTTAGCACGACAGGGGTGACTTTAAGCAGCCGTTTGGCCCCATTATTTTTCATTAAATTATAATTTTTTTTCTTTTTCTTCTTATCAACCATACATTTTTCAATAAATTAATATTACACATAAACCCAAAAACTTATCTTCATTTTCTAATCACGCATTTTCCAAAAAATTACTATTTTTCTCATTCTAATGTGAAATAATGGGCATCTTGATATCTACAAAACGCAGATGAACCTAAAGCAACCAAGTCCAATAGTTCGCCTGCATAACCCAAGGCCATAAATAGTGTTGCGATATGAATTTCCAATCAAATAGAGTGCTCAAATCCTATATTGATTGATGTCCCGGCCCACCTTCTTCGCTAGGGTAACAAAGCTTGTCCCTAGATGCCCAATGAATTTGTTCCCCTTTAGATGAATATTGGATGAAAGCATCGAATAGTCTCTCTAAACTTTTACTCGCACATAGAGGGGGCTTGAGAATTTGTAGAAGGTGAATAGGAGTATGCTTTAAGAATGGTTATTTTTCATCCTATTGAAAGAAATTTATTTTCCCATCCATGTATTAATCTTGATCTTATTTTTTTGTAGGAGTTGATCAAAGAGGAGTACTTTTTGTGACCTTTGAAAAGAAGACTCCAAAATATGTAATAGTTTGTCACAAAAATTTGAAAGTCACTGATTTTAGAATTTCTTGTAACATCATAGTACATCAAATCTCTCCATATGCTTCAAGTACTGGTAATGAATAAATTAACTCCAATGACATGTCGATATTAAATAGATAATATCGAACATTACTAAGGTAAAAGAGTTAAAAGTTTGTTAATAGTAATGTTCAGTAATATGTACAAAACATGCATTCAATAGATGCACATGGATCAATCTTTATGCAAGCCTCACTCCCATTTGCACTCAATCTTACTAGTATTTCTGAAAATTGAAGTTAATAACACACTCCCATCCATTCTCCTCAAAACAAAACTCTCCACCAAAACATAGCAACCAAACTTTCTCCACACAATATCACTTCTAACCTCCTTTCTACCCTTCACTCTCACCTCCCTATGTCCATCAAACCATCCTCTTGTCGCTTGTAGCAACCTTATTTTCTCCAAAATGGCCAAACTCAAACCAGCACTTACTCTCCTCCTATGTTGTTCTTTCGCCTTAAACCAAACAAACCCTTCGGCATCCAATCTACCTTCATCTTTCTCGGCTTCTACTCCGCATACCAAAGAAACCAACCTTTTTACTCTTTCATCAACAACAACAACAACAACGTTGTTTTCACGGTGTCCAGAATATTGATGGATGTCTTGGGAGATATCCCGGGTGACTGACTCTTTTCCGCATGCATATATTTGTTCCCACCTTAAGTTTAGACTCAGTTCATAGAACATAGATTTTCTCATTTGTTCTTTCACTCTGTGGGCTTCATCTTTCACAAACACACAAGGGCAGTACCATTTTCCAATAATAATTGGAGTGGAATACTTGGAATATAAAGGAACATTCAATTCAGGGAGTTCTTGCAAGAGAGAAATGTTAAGTCCTGGAGCTTTTGATAAATGAAATTTGTAAGACTTAACAGTGTAAACTTCCCATCCTGATGTTCTGAGAAAACTAGGAGGATTACCATCCCATTCGATTGATTTCGCTAAGAATCCACCACTGTGATGACGATGAATCTCGACTTGTTGATATCTGTCCCTGTAATCGAAAGGCCTTGTTTTTCGATTATTTCGGACATCGTTAAAGCAACATATTGCTGAAGCATCTTCTCTAGAACATGTGTATGCCTGTCTGCAGAACTCGTCAAAAGAAATGAAATTTAGTGAAAAACTTCTGAGCAAGTCCATCAGGAAGAAAAATATTGCAACAGAGATAGCAGCTTCTGTCTTTTTAGAATGATTACTCCATGAATTAGTCCCTATTGTTTTTGCAAAAATTGTTGGAATTTATTGGACTGTGAAGCCTAATGATACTGAGTACTTTTTCTCTCCACTGTACATCGACATAAGTTTTATTTATTTAGGGGGAGATTGAATAGTCCACACATTCGTTAGCTAGTGCCCACTATTGCTATCATATATGGACTTCTTGGGGGCTCAATTTCCCGTAGACGTGACAGATGTGTGTTAAAATATTGAGAAATTAACAGTGGCAACTGGATGATATTCTCACATGGAAATGCAATAAATATATGTGTTGCTTTGCATGTTTCTATTTTTATTTTATTTAGCTTTTAATCCCAATTCATCATATTTTGATAGATTGGTCAGAATTTTCGTAATAAAATAATTGACCCAATGTAGTGATCATTTGACTAGGTGTAGTAGGGTAAGAGTGCATTTTATCTATATGACTACCCTTCACATTTTTATTTAGAATGACATGACTATCCTTCAATGATTTTATATTTACCTAGCAATCCAGGGAAAAATGACATTTGGCAAAGTGCATTCATATTAAAGGTCCTGTTTGAGAGTGATTTTCAGAATTGATTTTTTGACTGTTAGAAAAAAGGTGGGGGCATCTATGAGAGAAGAAGTTAAAATTTAAGGCTGCAATAGTGAAATAACGGTCAAAAAATTAATTTTTTGGGATGAAAAATCACTCCCAAACGGGGTCAATGGCAAAAAATAAACTAATAATAATAATAAATAAATAAAACATGGTTTCGGGTTTGAACAGAAAGGGACATGCATATGAAACCCGAGGGAGATAATGAAAAGAGAAGCATACAAACTTTGACAGAGTTACGAGATAACACTGCAGGTATAATAACATACCCTTTATGTTTGCCCTTCGCCTTAATAACATAGTATCTGTTGGATGAAAGAGGCTGATCAATTACTGGTATAAACCAGACCTTTTTAATGCTAACATCTTCATGTACTGATGCATTTACAACCTTCAAAATCCTGTCCTGAGGGAATGGAAGCCTCTTTATTTTGTTTCTCCTGAATATCCCATAACAAGATAAACCTATGCCCTCTGATTCTTCGTCCGAAACGACTAGCTGACCGGAATATGGAGCGTCTCGCAGTGGCTGCACGTAGAGAGCACCTGGATGGTTGCGATAGAGGGATCGCGGTTTTGTCACGTACATCTCTTCCTTCTGCTCGTGCTCGTGCTCGTGCTCGTCTTCAGGAATTTTATTAGCTTAGGAGTGAGAAACTAAAGATCAATGTCCACAAAAATGTGAAAAACATATCAACACAATTCATAAAAGCTATTCAAAGGATTTAAAAATATGGATAAAGTTGAAACAGCAATATTTAGTTTCTTTTTAGCTGATACGATAGCCAATGTACATGCAATGCATTATTGACATCTCAATAACAGCATGTTTGGACAAGCTTTAAGGCTTTGTTTGTTTACCATTTTTTCACATTCTACCACATTATTTTTTTTACAGTACTCATTTTTAACCACACATTCTTCATTAAAATAATATTACACGTAAATTAAAAACTTTTCATTCTTTTTTAACCACATATTTCAACGTCAATCACTATTGCATAACACATTACTCACAAATAATGGAGCACAAACAAGCACTAAAAGTTTACTCGCAGGTAAATAAGTTTTTTTTGGGATAATAACTTTTTTATTGGTGAAATTTTTATCAGAGTTATTTTCATTACTTGAAAGTAAGAAACAAATTATCCGAAAAATGTTTGAAGTTAAATAAACAGCCTACTTAAAAGTAACTTATACATTTTTAAGTGTAGCCAAACATGCTTTTGGATATTGATTAATTTGTTTGATGTATTATTATATACCTATCTTTTTATCTTGAAGCTTTATTTCGAAAAGGAGATCCACTACTCTTTTTTCTCTAAATGAAAGTTGAAAGCGGAAATGATTCCATGAATTGTCAATGAAAGCAAAATGAAGTGGACCAAGAAGTCCTTTTGTGAATTAGAAGTTAGAACGCTCAGGAAAATTGGTTTCTAAAGAGGTCCTCATGTCCTATTCTTTTTGAAACTTAGTCCCTGTTTGACAACCATTCTTTCGAGTTTTTCTGACGAGAATGAATTTTTGAATAATAATTTTTTTGGAAAATATGTGATTAAAAAGTAGAAAAAATTTGGGCATATATGAAATACATTTTATTGTGAAAATGTATAATTAAAAATGAGTACGAGAAAAAAAAAAAAAATTTAAAAGAACGATTGTCAAATGGTATAAGGGGGAAAAAGAGTATCGAAAAAAAAAAAATGGTATCATACACTTTACTCTTTATCCTTAACTGATACTGGCGGACATGATTCGTTTGTAAGTATATATACTAAGAGCCAATCACTTTTTTGTTTAGCTCACATGTTCTTGATAGTACTCTAAAATGCGTAAAGCGTGACGATGTGTGGAGACCAGGTTATAGGTTAAGCGAGTTTAGGCGAGGCATAGACATAAAAAAACGTAGAAAAAGATTTCTTATTTTAATATTATTTTAGTTTTTAATCAATCAAAAAATGAAATAATTAAAAATAATACATAACAAATATCTAAAACAGATTTACAAGAACTTTATACATTTTTCAAAATTTTTCAACAAAATAATAAGTTTCAAATATAAATACTAAATAGTAAATAAATAGAAATTTTTTTGAATTTTCCTATATTCAAGACCTCAAACAGCCATTTTGAATTTAGGACAGACGAAGTGATGAAATCAACCTTTATCAAGCCACCTAATTTGACATTTTCACATCACATCGCATCTAGTCAGCTTTTTAGAACACTAGTTCCTAATTATTTTACTTTTTAAATTGCTCATAATTATTATAATTAAAAGAGTACTTCACGAACGTGACAAAAGTGCGAGTCAATTCGATAAATAACCTCCATTTGGCAAAATTATGGCCCTGTGCATTTTTTGCGAAATCTATCAGATTTTTGATAGATTTGAATGGCTTTTTTAATTGAAAAAATTTGAGCCTTAAATATGAAAGTTTGAGTAGGGTTGGAGGATACAGACATATTTTTAACCTATAATTATGCTCGCATAATTACTTTTTTGACCCTCTCAATTCACAGACCAGCACTATTGGAAGGGCAAAACAGTCTTTGTATTGTGTATCCACTATTGTTGACTTTTCAATCTTTGAAGGTTGTCATAGTTAACCTTTTTATTATTTTTTATTTTTATAAAAATAATGCTATTCCAAGTGAAGATTATCGGTAATCCCACAAACTCTCACACATGTCATGTAAGACAATTGCTGATAGTCTCGCAATAAAAAATCAATTTTCAAAATCACTTCCAAACTGGCTCTTATTATTCCGTGTGATATTTATTTTGTTGTTCGACATTGGTTTGAGAAACCAAGCCTGTTATTGCACAATCAATAAAAAATCTTGGTACGTATTTTCGTGACATAAACCATTTATAAATTTGTATCCAAAAAAGAGTAAGATGAAGTTAAATAATACCAGCACAAGAAAATATTAATGAAAGAATACTTCATTAATTTTCTTGAAATAGTTTTGAAGATCAATTAAGAACTCAATAGACGAAGAAATAAAACATGCATCAACAGCTCTTTAAATGAGCTTATTAAGAAAGAAAAATCAAATTGAAATCAATCCCATTAGCAATTCACTTGTTCACTGAATCCTTGACGGCATCAGCAGCTCCTTGTGCCTTAGCCTTCATTTGCTGACCGGCCTGCACAAAATTCAGTATTAGAACCGAAAATTTTTAGTTTCGTTTTCTTTCTTATTATTGTCCAATCTCATGAATTCTTGCACATCGGTAGTTGCAATTACGAACACACGCGAAAAGTTTTTTTGAATTTTCTCTCTTAATCAAGTAGAGTAGAAAAAGATCTTGAATTCAAATCACGATGTCACTTAATTACAGAAATCGATACATTTAAATTGTCTAAAGTTACAACCTCCTGCATGGAGTCCTTAGCAGATTGGGCAGTGTTGCTAATTTTGTCCATCACCTGGCTAGACTTCTCCTGAATTTATCAAACAATATTAGCCTCAATATTTCGTGAAGAGTGTACATGATATTAGACAGTATAATATAGTTTACATGTCTGATCTCGTACCTCCAGTGGACAAGATAAAAATTTCTCAATACTGATGTGACAAGAGAATCATAATCCACATTAACAGTAACAAGTTTTTATCCAGTCCACTAAAGGCGGGAGATCAATTTCAACATAGTATAATGAATGAATTTTAATTTTTTCCTTCTCCTTAATACTTTCTAGTAAGATGTGGGATTTTTTACCTGAGCTTGGCCCTTGACCTGACCGGCATTGTAACTGGCTTTTGTAGAATTATCCATTCTTCTTGGTTTATGCTTGGTAGAACAAGAAAGATAATCACGATTTTGTGGTAGTGAAATTGATGCTTGAAGATTTTATAATTCAATGAGCCTATATAAGATATAATATATATCGCCAGCCAGCAAAAAAATATTTGCCACCATAAGAGCCGATTGACCCGGGCTTATTTGAATTTATTTGTTTAATTAGTTAGATTGATGAGAAAAAAGTGGTAGTTTTTCATATTCCCTGTTTACCAGGTGATTATGTGTGGACATGATTTTTTTTCTTAATCATTTTTCACTTGTAAGATTGTATAATTATTAAGCCCTCGTTTTGTAGCAATTCTTCACCCATAGAAAATCAAAATTTTGATCATTATTTTACTATTCCAGTCGTCGTTGTTGACTTCTTCACTCATAGGTGAACCCACTTTTCTCTCTAATGATTAAAAAATCAATTCTCATAATCACCACCGAACATGCCTTAAATACAATTATATTCTTTGAAATTTATTAAAAACAATACAGTTCTTTATTTTTAAGTGCTTATGACTCCTTTTATAATTTCTAGCAATGCAATCTAAAAATGCTTGGAGATGGAAATGTGATAATATTCACAAGTTTCTTGAAGGAATTTTTGTTAGTCAACATTTACAAACCTAAAATTGTCCTTCATGGTTAAAGGTTGGAAATGATTTTTCTTTTTGAATACACACTTTTGCTCGGACACGGGACATTCAAGATGATTTTGAAAAAGAGTGGATGTAAAATGAATTTCCGAAGTCTTATTCATATTAAAGAATTTTGAAATAATGTCCATTTTTAAAATTGTAAGATGCGTTAAATAGTTAGCACAAGTCAAAGGATCACACGGGAAAGGTTCTAAGTGGTGAGGACGTAGGATGGCTAGCCAAGGCACAAAAGAGCTTGCCGGCAATGGCCCAATGCATTTGGGTGACTATGCTGCACGTCTGACCAATTAGAGCATGGGGCGGCCACTCTGTGTGCCGGTCAGCCATCAAAAGAATCTCGTGCATGCTCAAGTGTCATGGAATGAATATTTATGTCTTGATCGTCAATATCTGCCTAAATAAAAGAACATATCAAACTTCCAAACTCTCTTGAATAAAAGAGTTTGTAGGACTTTTAACACTTAGTTGGAAATATGATCGGAGGCCTTGGATAGCCTCGGACATGGACGATGCTCATCTCAATACAAATTTTGACAAATCAACATTGGTACGAGGCATCATACCATTGGATGCAAAAGGATTGATACTAGACAAGTGTCACTAAAATACGAAAATTAATAAACTTTGGAAATAAAAATCAGAAATTCTAACAAAATGCTTCAAAAATGTCAAGTCATAAAAACACCTAAAATGCTTCCGTTGGTATCCTATAGATAGGTCATTGCACAACTAAAAAAAATAGACTCTCTCTCTCTCATACCAAATATTGAGACCCGTTTGTATCTCATTCGATCACAAAAATAAAAAATATGATCGTTATTCATCATATCAAGTCACCATATTTGACTTCTTCTCTTTTGTGTGGTCCCGTAATGACTATATTTTTTATTCTCATTCTTATAAGAATGAAAATTAAACAGGTGCTAAATGTTCTAAATTTCAAAAAGAAATATTTCTTGGAAATTGAGAAATAAAACACATTTGACTTTAAGAAATATAAGCTATTTTTAAGATCAACGTATCTGTTCAGGCTTATATCCATATTGATGGCCCCTTTTCATCCAAATTCAATTATGTAACTAAAATTTTAAATAATTGCGACTCAAATAAAATCTTGACACTATTGGGAAGGTTTGTTTTACAGATTGTTGATTTCTAATATATATGATATAGATAAATATATAGAATGCTCCTTCATCTTCTTCCTTGAAACAATTTTTTCCTTGCATGCTTGCATTTCATCTCTTTTAAAGCTTTGTCCGTGCTTTGTAAATTTGAAAATACAGAATACGAGCATCTAATATTGATCTCTTCTCTCCTTATATTTCGGGATTATTTTCGGGAGTGCACGATGCAAACAACAAATTTAGGTTACTTGTATATTGAAGATATTTCTGCTAATCCGTGTGGATCACTGAAATGAGGGCAAATATCGTCTCAAAGAAAGCACAAAACACGTGGCTTAATTAAACTTCTTCATCTTAGAGTTAGTCGTGATTTTCTCCAACTTCATCTACTATTTGCCCTCACCATTATCCATATTTTTCGATTTGTAATTTTTTTTATTTGTTATTTTTTTTATTTATTTATTTTTCGGTCATTGTCCTAACTTATGATTTCTGTAGTTAATTAATTTTCAACTTTTTAAGCGGAGCATTTTAATCCTAATATTTCACAATTTTTGCACGATTTTCATTTAAAATCAACTAAAAAGTTTCACCGATTACACTTTTTTTTTTGTTAAAATAAAAACTAAATAAAAAGGAAATAAATAGAGGGGGAAAAAAATAAAAAACTAACAAAACCCCCACCCCTATATAACCAAGCCTCGCTCCCTCCAACTTTCCCAAACCTAACTTAGGGATGTTAAGTGTGGCGAGTCACTAGTTGATTCGTTTCAAAGATGAATCAAGGGACGAATTGAGTTGGATTTTTCTTGTGTAAGAAGCTCATCAATCCATAATGGCCGGCTAGTCGACTTGTCTAGTAGTAGAGGAAGAAAAAAAAAGTTAATAGAAAAATAAAAAAATATACGAGCTGACTCACCTCGCCTCACCTGGAGGGAAGCCATGAGTACTGCTCAGCTCGACCCAAATTGAGCGTGGACCGACTCGTCCAGTGGGATGTGTCGGGCTCGAGGATTTGCAAACCAAGCTGCTCAGCTCGTTTAATAGCCAACCCCAGCTCCGCCCAAAGAAACATCAGAAGAAGACTGTCTCGACCTTATCACCTCTTTTGTTAACATAGCAATGTAAGAAGAAAACGGGAAATCATATTCCAAACAAGATACTTATTTTTCGTTTTGCTTTTATCTAGTAATTCCATAAATCTTTGTAACATATACCCACTCCAATGAATTCTTCCCCAAAATTAATTAACATTCTGTAGAAAGATTCTTTACTCCTGATGGCTGGTTTTGTCACTTGGTGTATCCAGGCAGTGAGAGCAAGCTAGTTAAAACTGTCTATACGATTTCTAGTTAAGAACTGGGAAAGGATGCAAATAAACTATTACATGACACGAGTGAGAAGAAAATTGAACCCAATAATCCTGCAAGTAATACATTACTCAATGCTTATTGCAAGATTGAGAAATGAGGTCTTTTCTGAAAGTTAGAAGTAAGATTTTGGAGGCTGGATTAAGACCGGATCAGTTCACTAACAAGGCATTAATTAATGGGTTCTGCAAGGCACGGTAGATATACAGTTCTAAAGAAAGAAAAAATAGACTGTGCTCAAAAAGTATTTAGCATTATGCAATCGAAGGGAATTTTAGGAGATACTGTTATCCATGCTAGTTTGGCTCATGAATACTTGAGAATTGGCAATATTGTTGCTTATTCAGATATGTTAGACAAGATGACCGATGATAACTCTTGACCCCATTTTTCGTGGAGATTACGTGGGCAACAGATGTTGGGCTAACTCGGGTTCACACAAGCAAATTCGAACACGTTTTGATTAGAGATTCGGACGGAGAAGGTAACTTGTATGGACATGGGAGATGCTTTTATGATGTGAGACCACAATGTTCAAAAACCAGCCATATGACCGAATATGATTGTAAACAGACGTACAATCAAGAACAAATTCCCCAAAATTGAAGTAATCTAAATTGAACAAACAAGGGAGAAGATTGAGTATGGTTTCAAGTATATAAAGTTGCATCCTTTCTAATGTTACAAGAGTTGCTATTTATAGAGTTGGGGTTGACATGGTAGCTATTGGATCAGGATGACATGGCCTCATCTCATTAACCGAGGCCTCACATCATTTTCTGCCATACATATAATACATTGACAACGGGACAGTCACCCTACATCTTAAGCAGACAATTTTTGATATATTCCAGCCGCATTCAAGATTCTTCCATGCCGAAATTGTTGAAATTTCAATTGCTTAATAAACAAGTAATTCCCACCAACATGAATGCATGAAGGATGAAGAAGAAAATTTGAATTAAAACTCTCCACCTTTTGACGGCCACAACTTCAATTGCTTAATGGAGAAGAAATCTATGCAAGAAGAGAATTTGAAATGAAATTCTCTAGCCGCAATTCTTGATTGGTTTTTGGCCACAAGTTTATGACGGTTTGTAGCCAAGATTTTTTTATAAATATGAGCTACCGTAAAGAGAATTAATATGTCCCTTGAGAGGAAGAAAAATAGGATAGAGAAGAGAGAGAAAAAAAGAGAGATTAGAGAGACTCTTTTGAGAGGTTTTTTGAGTTTGTAAACTCCGCTGTAAATTCTATTCAAGTAGAAATAGAATTGTTTTTCCTCTTTTATTTTCTCTTCACGTGATCGGATAATCACAACAAGTGGTATCAGAGCTTGGTTCATCAATTAACCCTCATAGTTTTGATAAAGCTTTTGCAAGTCAAGACGTTAATGGAGGAATCTTCATCAGGAGCTATGATCAAACTCACTGGAAGACCTCCTTAGTTGTAAGGATTTGTATGACCCCTTGGAAGCCAAAGGTGAAAACCCCGATCCTACCAAAGAGGCGGAGTGGAAGAAGCTAAATAGAAAAACTACCGGTCAAATTCGACAATGGATTGACCATAGTGTTTTTCACCATGTAGCACAGGAGACAGATGCATATGCTCTCTGGAAGATTCTGGAGGACATGTACCAAGCCAAGACCACTCGAAATAAAGCCCTGTTGATGAGGCGTTTGGTGAATTTGAAGTTAAAGAGTTGAACTTCAGTTGCTGAGCACACCAGTGAATTTCAGAGCTTGGTAAACCAATTGTCATCTGTGGAGATGCCGCTTGGGGATGAAATACAAGCCTTACTACTTTTAAGTTCTCTTCCTGATAGTTGGGAGACATTAGTAGTATCTCTTAGCAACTCAGCCCCTGATGGCAAACTTACCATGTCTATGGTTAAGGATGCCCTATTTAATGAA